GGAAATAATATTTTGTGACTTGGTTACAATATGCATTTTTTAATTACTTGGGGTTTTTAATCAAACTAATTAGGGTTTAAATTTTACAAAATAAATACTAAATAATGGTGAAAATAAAATGTTTGTCGCTGATAGATTTTTTGTATTTTGTTAATAACTTTTTTATTTTAAATTAGGCTATTAAACTGATTGAAGCACTAACCTCTACTAAGGAAGCTCTAAAGAATTATATAAATTTCATTGTTAGTGCTTTCAAAAATTTCTGGCCAAAATTTGACATCCTAAACATTTCTTTAGCATATTACAATTTTTTATAAAGACGGTTAACCAAATTAATTACGGTATTCAAATTTGCTAATTAAGCACTAAATAATGGCGAAAACAGGATGTTTAGTAGTACTATAGTTTTTGTTTTTGCACGTCGACATTATTTGTTTTTTTTCGCAAATAACTTTTTATTCTTAAATTCGGCTACAAAAGTGATTGAACCACTAACCTCTACTAAGGAAGCCCTAAAGAAGGATATAAATTTCATCGTTAGTGCTTTCATAATTTTCTGGCCATAATTTGACCTCTAAACATTTCTTTAGCCTATTACAATTTTTTATAAAGACGGTTAACCAAATTAAAAACGGAATTTAAATACACTAATTAAGCACTAATAATGGCGAAAACCGGATGTTTAGTACTCCTATAGTTTTTGTTTTGGTACGTCGCCATTATTTGTTTATTTTTTTTTTCGTGAATAACTTTTTATTCTAAATTCGGCTACAAAACTGATTAAAGCACTAACCTCTACTAACGAAGCACTAAAAAATGATATAAGTTTCATCTTCAGTGCTTTCATAATTTTCTAGCTGAAATTTGACCTCTAAAAATTTCTTTAGCGTGTTACAATTTTTTCATATGACGGTTAACAAAATAAATTACGGAATTTAAATATACTAATTAAGCACTAAATAATGGCGAAAACCGGATGTATAGTACTCCTATAGTTTTTGTTTTGGCACGTCGCCATTATTTGTTTATTTTTGTTTTTTTCGTGAATAACTTTTTATTCTTAAATTCGGTTACGGAACTGATTGAAGCACTAAAATCTACTAACGAGGCACTAAAGAATGATATAAGTTTCATCGTTACTGCTTCCAAAAGTTCGGCCAACTTCACGCCTAAATCGTGACGTCATAGTTTTTATTTAGCTTATAACTTTTTTTTTATAAGGCGGTTAAGTAAATTAATAACGGAATTTAAATACACTAATTAAGCACTAAATAATGGCGAAAACCGGATGTTTAGTACTCCTATAGTTTTTGTTTTGGCCGTCGCCCATTATTTGTTTATTTTTGTTTTTTTCGTGAATAACTTTTTATTCTTAAATTCGGCTACGGAACTGATTGAAGCACTAACCTCTACTACCGAAGCACTAAAGAATGATATAAGTTTCATCGTTAATGCTTCCAAAAGTTCGGCCAACTTCACGCTTAAATCGTGACGTCATAATTTTTATTTAGCTAATAACTTTTTTTCCATATGGCGGTTAACTAAATTAATAATTGAATTTAAATACATTAATTAAGCGCTAAATAATGGCGAAAACCGGATGTTAAGTACTACTCTAGTTTTTGTTTTGACACGTCGCCAATATTTGTTTATTTTTGTTTTTTTCGGGAATAACTTTTTATTCATAAATTCGGCTTCAAAATGGATTGAAGCTAACCTCTACTAACGAAGCACTAAAGAATGATATAAGTTTCATCGTTAGTGCTTCCAATCGACTTTTAAGCATGAAGTTGGCACAAATTTTTATTTTTGCCTATAACTTTTTTCCCTTAAATTCGGCTACTATACGGATTGAAGCACTAACAAGCACTAACGAAGCACTAAAAAATGACATATGATTCATCGTTAGTGCTTCCAATCGTTCGGCCAACTTCACGGAGCTTAACAATTTAATTATTCAAAATATATATACGTTCTTCTCTCCTTTTTTAATTTCTTTTATTCAAATCTTTTCACATCTACAACAAATATTATTTGCTAAAATATTACTAATCATCTATGCCTATTATTTAATATTGTAAAAATTCCCAAGCAAGGTCCAAGGTCATAATAATTTTGAAAAAATTTCTCCACTCCAACCAAAAATCATAATAATTTTGGTAATTGAGAACTGGAATAAAATATTTAAAAAATCCTAATGAATTTAAAAATACAATCAAAATCTGTTTTTGCCTTGGTTTATTTGTTTTAGGTCAGTATCTGATCTATAGTTAATAATAAAAAATTTCCAAGCGTCCAAGCTGATAATAATTTGAAAAATTTTCCCCAAGCGTAGCCCAATATAATTTATAAAAATATTTTCCAAGCCCAGCCCTATCCATTATAATTTTAAAAAATTTTTCTAAAATCTGGCCAACCGATAATAATTTAGAAATTTTTTTCAGCTTCCAATAAAAAAAATATTATATAAATATTTTCCAAGATCAGCCCTACCCATTATAATTTAAAAAAAATTTTCTCAAACCTGGCAAACCGATAATAATTTTGAAGGGAGCTTCCAATAAAAAAGATAAATATTGATATATTTAAATCACTTTATCATGATATAATTTCATATATTATCGAACGTTAAGTCAGTGGTTCGAATCTCATTATTTAACATTAGATGTATATAGTCTCCTTCGATTTATTTAACATTAAGATGATAGGAAAGTTGATACCAATAATAAAAATTAACATAAAGGTTACGAAAATGTTCATTTCTTGATTACGGCGATTATATATATTGGATTATTTATTTTTTTTCTCTCATCTATTATAAAAATAAATATATATTGATTAATAATAATATCTATATTCTAAAAATAAAATTTTTTATATAAATCCTTTTAAATAATCATAATAATAATATATTAAAAGAATGATTGCGCAAAATAATCAAAAAAAATATTTATCACCAAAAATGAATGACTTCACAATTTAACATAAAAAATGATCCACACAATAGTTTGTAAGAAGAAAAAAATCATAAATAGTTTTTGTTTTTATTTTCCTATATAATATTTAACCCAAGTCTGTTTTTGACAGGATAAATAGTTATAGCAGTAGACTACTATTATAAACCTTTAGGAAATTATTTAAAGTCGATAGTGATAATTTTTTTTACTCCACGATGAAAAATCAATTGTAAATAACAGTTTTAGACCAGATAACACGTTTTGGATGGTAGATGAGTATTATAAAACCTTTGGGGTTTAAATAAAGCACTTTTCTTTGCATCACGACTAATAAATCATATTTTTTAAACACTTTTGTTTTAGACTAGAGAAAAAAATATAGTTTGAAATTTTCACTTCTCTCATGGAATGAGAGGCATTGTTCATTTCAAGCTATTATTAAAGGTTTTGTAATACTTACCGATTACCCAAAACTTTTTATCAAGGAAACAAGTTGTTTTTCTCAAAAATAACTAATATTGGTCCCGATCCTATATTTTGGACAACTCACAATATTGGACACTCTTCATATAAATTAAATATTTCTGACTCTTTTTGCAGATTTTGCCCATTGATGAATAAAAGCAAATATGCTACATTTAATGAAAAATTACAGTTAAAATTTCACTCAAAATACATGCATTAAGTTAAGTAACATAACACTAAAATTATATATAAATTGAAAAATTTGTTTTAAAATTTGTTGAAAATATTTAAATTATAAAATTATCTGATAATTGTAAATATATTAGTATTTGAGAATACAATTAAGGTTAGGTTAAAATAATTCAACTGATTCAAATATTTATAATTTTTACAATTTAATGCAAAAATATATCATTTTTCGGAGTATTATATATATTATAATATAGAATGTATTTCAAAGGTATTAAATTTATAAACTAGCTACTTTTACTGACCAATTTTCCAAATATTTTTAGGCAAATGAAATCTATTTGATTTATTAATTAACCCTGAAAAAGAACCACCTTTTGACAGGATCGAAGGATTGTATTAAAACGAAGAAATATGTCATTAGTTGCTGTATATTTAAAAAATATCGATCTTAAAACAATGATCATATAAATAATATTGTACTATGCTATTCGTTTTTTTGGCTGATATTAGATTAAAAAGTAGGGAATTATAAAATAGTTAGCATTCGATTTATTATTATTGGTTATTAGAATTGGGGAGGGACTTGACCATAAAGTTCTAGACCTTAGAGGGGGGTAAATTAAAAAATTTTTTAATGCAGAAATTTTATCTAAAAATTTAATCCCACTCTGGACCCAAAGTACTTCGATTTTATGGTTGTTCAAAAATTCATGTTTGGTTCATGTTTGCAAAATAATCAAACAATTTTAAGTTTTTAACCCCAAACAGGTCCAAACCCTGCTTATCGGTTTCATTTTAGCGCTAACCTCTGAATTAGGCACTCTTTATCTTAATTATGGTGATATTTGTGGCCAAAAAATTCAAATTATATTCACAATTGAAACTTTCTCATATCCTTTCTCTAAGTTGCTATCAGATATCGAAGGTAATGGGTAAAAATTTTTACGGATCGTGAAAATTTATTAATTGATTAAAATGAATGAATAAAAAGGATAAAAAATTAGCCAACTATTAAAGTGGTTAGCGAAAAAATAAATATTTTAAAATAATTGCTTTATAAAATGTATTTTGTCATTCAAATTACTTCAAAATGTATTTCAAAATAGATCGTTATGTTAGTAACCTAGCATTAACTTTATTTAAAGGTATTTTGTTACTACCCGTAGCTTGACTTTATTTCAGCAACCGTAACCAAAAACCTTTTGAAAAATATTCAGAACCGGAATCTTTTTTAAGCCCTGTTCCAAATTGTAAAATCAAAATCCAATAGAGTCCTATGATTCAGTTCCTAGGCCTAAATTTAAAAATATTTTAGGCTGGGCTTAAAAATTAATAATAAAGAAAATTTTGTTGATATATTTTTATTATCAAAATAACATTTTATAGAATACTTAGTCGATACAACTCACTCCATGCATGAAAATTTAAAATTATCTGATGAGAAAAAGTTGTTAAAAAAACGATTGGAACATCGCAATATCTTATCTTCAATATCAACCTCGTAAAATATTAATAATTTAATTTTTTCTTTATCTTCTATATTTTCTTCTATCTTGCATGTTTTATGATTCTTCTACTCAATAAAAATTTTATAAGATTGCAAAATTAAAGATAAAAAAGTAGCGATTTAATCCTCATACCTTCTTAATCAGTGTTCTCTGTAGTAATCAGATCTTTGCCAAAAAATTATTTAGGTCAATTATATTTAAATATTCTAAATTACATAATAAAGGTATATCTATTTTAAAAGGAAAGCCCTAGTTAATTCATGAAGGGTTTTGGCTTCAAAACATAAACATATCAGGGTTTGCTAACCTGTTAAGATTTACATTTAATACATATGAATAACAAATAATTGATATTTCTAAAGTCCGGCAAAATAAATATACTATCCTTTGTTGAAGGATATACCATTAAAAATTTTTGAAATAAAATATCGCTTTATTCTGGACCATATTTGATTTGTAAAGTATATAATAGACCTTTGTTGGAGCTTAGGATGATATCCTGGATTATTGCCTTAAGTTCTTCTAAGAATGCCTTAATGGTCTTAAACTTAGCCAATATCCTTTGAAATCAAATATTTCGAAGCCAAGACTAACACACGACTTCGTAAAATCTTATTTAAAATTTATAAATAAAATAATTAAGCTTTGATAACGAGATAGGAAGAGATGAAAATATAGTTTGAAAGTAGAGATTACAAAATATTTTCATATTAAATAACTTAAAATTATGCTATAGATATTTATATTATTGATTATTATATAATGAATAAGTTTTGGCGATATTTAATTATAAAAAGATTCATCAAGATTCTTATTTAAACGATATATAAGGTGAATTCCATGATAAATTAGCATGAGTTTCAATTCGACCCCCTACTAAGAAAAAAAATAAAATTTAGCTTCCAACTCCAAACGGAGGCTGAAATATGGGGTCCTAAATGTCGAAAAATGGGGCATGCAAAATGCTCTCTCCATTTAATTTTAAATATCTTTGGATATAATTGAGCTAGAAGCGTCATTTAAATTTTAAAGCCTAATGATAGATCCTTAAAGTTATATAATGTTAAATATTGTTAAAAAATTCTAAATGTCAAAAACCGGAAATAGAAAACCTCAAATTATCATAAAATATAATCTATATTTTTTATTTTTCTCAAATTTTTTAATGAATAAATTAATAAATATGCAAAATTAAGTGGGACCGAGCTCAGGTTTAGGAGATATGGAATTTTAATCATTAGTCAATTGTAAAAATTCATAAGAAATATTTGATAAATCATTAATTGTAATATATTTATAACTAAAATATTTTATTATTTTATGCATTTAAATAAAAGTAGTGCTATTGTTTTTATGTAATATATTTACTAGTGATCAGCATCGGCCCTAATTTTTTAAAAAAAGTTTTCCCGGCCCAAACTCGAATTTTTTTTATTTGTCCGCTCGATAGATATTAATTTTTTTTTTGTTTTTTTACTATTAGCTTTTAGTTTATTTTTTTATATAACATTTTGTTATCTCAATAGACAATTTATTTAGTATTTAAATCAGGGATGTGAACCCGGACCCTGAACCCTCATATTTTGGCCGAACCCGGACCCGGACCCTTTTAAAAAGTGGAAGGTTCAAGGGTTCAGAGTACTATAAAAAAATTTCTAACATAAAGTTTTTTTTTAAAAAAAAATGTAAAAATATTATTTTTAAAAAATAATATAAAATTTTTATAATTTTATTAATTTTTTTCGTGGAATCATTTATTATATATTAGCGTTTTTCTTCCTGGACTTCATTTCATTTTATTTAGAGATATACCATAAATTATTTTATAGTGTAAGTAATAATATTTTAATTGTGATAATTTATTTGCTCTTATTAGGAATACTTTGAGTATTTTGATTTGAAAGTGAAATATTTGGAATTTTTTTTTACTGCAAGTAATAATATTTTATAATTATATCTTATATAATAACTTTGTTTACTTGTTTTATAAAATTTTATTAAGTGTTTATTGTGCTATTAAGATTATGATTTTTTGAGAATTAAATTTAAATTAATCAAAATTGTAAATATATCATATTATTTTATTTATGCTGCATCCAAAATGTTTTGAAAAAATCTTAAAATTTTCACAAATTAATAACAAAACACTTTGGACACATTTAAGCTTTAAAAAATTAAAAAATTCAAAATGCTTGATATGATTATAAATATTTAATTGTATTTATTATTTTATATTACCTTTCAGTTATTAAGAACCTATTATTTGATAATAGTTATATTTAGATTTTTTATATACTTAATTAATATATACTATGTTGTAAATAATTATATCAATATTTTATAAATAGTTGGGAAAATCAATAATCCTATTTTGAAAGATAATCTTTCCATAAAATATATATAAAAAATTATTATATTTGAGTTAAATAAAATTGTGATAGAAATAATATAATTTTCCATCATCTTTTAAATTATAATTTTTTATTTTTACCAGATTATAATTTATTAAATTTAGCCTTTACAGTTAAAATTTTTTTTTCATTAGATCATAATTCAAGTTTTGTTTTTTCTTTTTCCTCCCAAATTTTCCTATTTTCTTTAGAATATCTAATTTTTAAGTCATTTTTGCACCAAAGGTTGTGCACTCTTATGCTTTCCTTAATTATTTTGACACTAAAATATATTAGTATAAAAGTCTATGGGTAGTACATTTAAAAAAATTAAAAGCATTAAGAAAAATTGTACTTACTAATTTTTTATAAAAATTTCATGTAAAATGAAATTGAACACTATTTTATTTTTACATTAAAAATAGATTATGTAATTTTTTTCTTCAAAATTTATTTATATTTTTAAGATTTTGGATGCAGCCTTAATAAAAAAAATATTTCTATGTGTCTATACTTTTAAGTTTTAAACAAATTAAATTGTTTTTTTAGTATGAAAGTAATAGATATTTTGTCAGAGTATTATAATACAACTAAGGGATTCTGAGTGCAAAACCTGCCACATAATGATAAAAGGTTCACACAATACTAACCTGGAAAGACATTTAAAAAGACATCATTCTATAATCTTTGAGGAATATTTAAATAGAAAAACCAAATTTTTGGAAGAAGACATTGTTAAGAAGCCTACGTATTTTAAAGAAGAATGAAAATAATATTGAAAAATTTTGCTTAAAAAAAAGCATTCATATTCAAATGTATGAAGAGTTATTTATGAATGCTTTAGTTGAACTTGTTACAGTAAATGGAAAACCTTTGAATATTATTGAGGATTCGGGTTTAAAAAAAATTATTGACCCTATTAGCAAAGCAATTGGAACATCAATTAATCGCTTTAAAATTAAGGACTTAGTGGTTAATGAATCGAAAAAAATACAAGCAAAAATAATAAATGAAACAAAAAACAAATTAATTTCATTAAAAATTGATTTCGCCCAAAGATTAGGATATTCTAGGAATAAATATACAGTATATAAAAGGAGATAATATAATATTAAGAAGCTATGAAGGAGATTAAGGAGAGTTCAACTTCTGAAAATATAAAAAGAATGATACTAGAAACATTAAATAAATTTAATATTCCTATTAGAAACGTTTTTACAATTACTACAGACAACGGTGCTAATCTCGTAAAATCAATCAAATTATTAAATGAATGTTCACTGGAAGAAATGGATGATATAGATGATGATGATGATAATTATGAGGAAATAAGTCAAATTGATTTACAGGAAATAATAAAAGATTTCTCCACAAAAATATACTGTATCAGATGTGCAGCCCATAGGTTACAATTGGCTATTAATGATTCCTTAAGAAATAATCAATTTAAAACTATAATTGATAAAGCAAGGGATGTTGTAAAATATTTAAGAACTCCCACAATTGTAAGAATATTAAAATCGATGAAAAGGCAAATGGCAATATTAGATTGCACAACACGTTGGTCCTCTATTTGTATGATGCTAGAGCGATTAATAAGTTTGAAAGATTTCTGTAATGATTTTATTATAGGAGCATGTGAAGTCATTTGGTCGGAAGATGATTGGAATCAAATAAAAGACCTTACTAGTGTGTTGGTTCCTTTAAAAATAACTACATTAAGATTGCAAGCAGAACAGTTATGTTTATCGGATTTTTATGGCATATGGATAAGATGTCGATTAGAGTTAGAAAGATTTACAAATTTTTTTTCATATGAAATATTAGGAAATATGAAAATTAGAGAGCAACAATATTTACAAAATAGTGTTGTATATTCTTCAATATATTTAGACCCTCGATATCAAGTTTTATTAAGTATTGAACAAAAACAAATGGCTATAGACCATCTTGAGGATTTATGGCATACCCAAAACTCTATTATTAACAATATATTGGAGGCTACTACAATATCTACTGATTGTGGCGAGAACAATGATAATGAAAGCAATATTGATGATCTGGAAATTTTACTATTAGATAGAGAGTAAAAAATCAAATTATCGTTAGATAGAAAGGAGCAAAAAATACCTATTGTATCTTTATTAGAAAAGTTCTCCGAAGTAAAGAGAATAAATAAAGATGGAAATATTTTAAAATTCTGGGAAGAAAATTCTTCTATATATCCAGAATTATATACCTTGTCTAGAATCGTCATGGCTGTGCCAGCGACATAAGTACAATAATTTATGTATTATAAAAATGACTCTATTTTAGGTAAGCGTAGAACGAGGATTTTCTTCGTTGAAATATATATTGTCCAATTTACGAGGTAATCTGAAGGAAGATATTTTAGAAGATATCATGATTGTTCGATTGAATAAAATATTTAAAATATAAATTATTTCATTTTGAATTATGAATGTGTATATATTGAAGTATAATAAAAATAAAAAAATGAATGAAAAAAAAGTCTTTTTTTAGTCATTATTTTTATGTTCCCTGAACCCGAACCCTGGACCCGGGTCCTTTTTAAATTTATTACAGGACCCGAACCCGGACCT